TTTTGTAAATTTGTATTTAGGGGTGTTTTTTCACAAGTCAAACGTTTGAACTATTCTGATAATAAGTATAGTTTTCGATAACGACTCGAAAACTATACAAGTAGGTACTGATGTTCATTAGATTCCTGCAGCGTAAAAATGCCTAATCCTAGCTCAAAAATGGCAGATGCTCTTGGATTTTAAAAAGTTCTATTTTTGTGCTGCAACGGCAACGAATACAACCTGAAACAGATATCGAGATGTGGTTCATGCTGCTTGCAGGTGAAAAAACTTAGCTTTGTTAATCAGAACTTTTCGAAGTGTTTTGAATGTTGCTGCTATCGTCGGCCTTAACATTTGCAAAAATCGTACACGTTTAGATCCTCCATCTATAATCTGCTTCTTACTAGGAAGCGCCAATCTGGAAAAACAGTACTATATTTTCAACAACTGCTCCTCAGAAAGATTATCACAGTTGGCCAAAATGGGTTGTAGTGTCTATGTCATGATAATTAATTGGAAACCGCACTTACGCAAGAATAGCAATTTATCTGTGCAGAAAAAAACTGAATGGCATGATATCGCAATTCTCTACGTTCAACCAATCGTAATGTGACAAATTCTTCTTAAAAACAATAAACAATGCATTCAACAAACACAAATAAAAATAATATGATATAGGGCACTTTAGTAGCTTCTATCAACATTGACAACAGATATTCTTTTTTGCTAACGCTGTCAACTGTAATTGTTGAATCAGAACTAGCTCCTCACCATGTCAGCCATTCAGAGATAATCTGGTCATGAACTGAACAAGTTCTAAAATGCGCTGAGATAATAAAACGATACAGTCCGAAGACAAAGTGTTATGAGTTTAAGCCAGGGTATCACTTCAACTAAGCCACGTTGGTGAGAGCACAGAAGAGAAAAGTGCACCCGGTGACGCAATGATAGGAGAAAGCGCATAAGGGCTTAGGACAAACGCTGACACAGCTACTGGGGAAAGAATCAGTGGTGAAAGAACGAAAGGAGACAGGATCAGTGGAGAAAGTACGTTTGGAATCAAAAGAAAGGGGGAAAGACAGAATGGAGATAAAATTAGAGGTGTGAGCGCGACTGGTGACAGGATGAAAGGCGTAAGTACGAATGGAGACAAGATAAAGGGAACCATAGCTCCTGGAGAAAGAATGAGAGGAGTTAGAGCAAGAGGAGAAAGGATGGCTGTTGACAATAGGATCGGAGACAACACTACGGGAGACAAGAGACGGGGAGCAACAATCACAGGCACAAATGCCCACGGGGAAAGGATGACTGAGCCGAAGATGGCTGGTGAGTAGATAACAGGTACCATCAACACTGGAGAAAGGAT